ATAATTTTCCCGAATTATGTTAATAAAATTTTATAACGACATAATTTGGTCGGAAATTATGTTAATAAAATATTATATCGATATAATTTAGTCGGAAATTATGTTTATAATATTTTCGGAAGATATAAATATGTTTTGATTATGTTATGTTTTTTTTAAAACATATTTTTTTTTGCATTATAACATATTCATAACATATCGAAAATTTAAATCTGTACATTGCCATAATTCTATTAATTATCAGCATGTTAATATTACTAATAACAGTAACAGCGCAATTGTTGAGCTATGAGCATATATTAAAATACGAGGTTCCTTTCGTTGTGTCAATGTTTGTTGCATCGGTTAGTAATCATTGGTTGAAACAAAAAATCTTTCATATCAATAAAATAATTTATTTCATTGTTGCAGATTCTTAATTCCCTCAATGCACTTTTGTATTACACATCAATCAAATTAGTACGAACTACATGCGAAAATTACTAAGGAATGACTAATTGCATTCAAATAGCAGAAACGTTGGCGAGGCAAATGTTCTGTGCTGTATTTTAAAGCATTACGAACAACAGTGAATCAAATCAATCCCTATCTAATCGCAATCAAGCAATATATATTTGGTTGGTGATATTTTTTCTTCATAGAGACAAACGATTGAATCGAATAAACTAACACAGAATACATATGACCAAAAATGAAAACGTGTGCATGAAATGTGAAACTGATGTATTAAATCATGTAAATGGTGGTTTCATGCTGAAATAAAATATATCAAAACAACGAAATTTGGTAGACCTCGTCTCATGGATGCAGATAGGATGATCAATGACAACAATAATTTTTTTATTTAATTCTACAAATATATTGGTTCTTGTTTAACGAATTTATCTACATGTAAGCGTTATATATTGTTGAATGATGAGATACATTTATTTTGATGTTCAATTTTTTTCCGCAATTTAAATCGTTCAATTGAGTGCATTATTTGTTCCACAGTTCGGGTGCTAAGAAAATTATTTAAATTTTGAACTTTAGTCACACAATAACGAACCATTTGCATTTGAGAATAAGCTTAACTATTTAAATTAAGTCATAATTTTAGATATCAACGCGCACGTTGCCGATTTGCTAGCCATGTCAAACGAATTAATTGCCTTATGCTAACAAATTGTAAACGTTTTGAAATATATTGTAAATAAATTTGAAATGCAATCATTACAATTGACCATGTTATAGTTGCTTTGCTTCCTCAACTGTATCGGGAAGTTTTTTCGAAAACGTCTCTGGGCAGAAGAGTACAAGGATAGCTGCGAGTATTGCCGAAGCTTCAAACAAAATCGATGGAAATGAACCATATTGTGCCAACTAAAAGTGTAAGAATATAAAGAACATCAAAAATACACATTCCCATTAAAAGATTTGAAAACTGAGGACAGTGACTGGAAGTGTACCGTCAGACGGTTCTGATTGCCACTCTTTGGAATATGTCATTTCATAGGGGTATTGCAACTACCATAAAATATATGTATTTCATCAAGTTTATCAAGCTCTTTCCAAGTTTATGCATAGTGTTGAACTTTTGTTCAAGCTCTACCATCGAAATGTACAGTAAAATAATTTACGGGCACGACGTAAGATGGCGTTTTTTCTGGTAAAAAAAGTTGCAATATCCCTTTGTGTCATTTTAATCATTTCGATGGATTTGTCTGACAGTTTTTTGCAATTGACACGCGCCGTTTGCTTCAAAATTTGTATTGCACGCTCAATACGCCCGTTTACCAGAAGCCATCGAACACTTTCTGGAACGATGTAAAAGTATACCACCAAAAATAGTCCCTGTGTGTAAAGAATTCGTATTACGGTACGAAAATCGTGAATGTACATTAGGGTAGCCCAAATGCCAAATGTTTTAAAATTTGCAGC